TACGGTCGCTGCACACAGAGTTGTACGGCCGCACCTCCCAATCCTGGCGAGCAGACATGCGGGCATACGATGACGCACAGAGCGATAACGTGTCCCACAAGTTTTCATCGTGTTTGACTGCATAATTTATTTATTTATTTCAAATGGCAGGCGTTTTGATAGTTATCATTAGCCATTTAGCTGACTTCAGGCTTCACAGAGAGGAGGAGGAACATCAAAGTGACAAAAAGTCGAGAGGGGGGACAGAATAATGATTCACAGATGTGACAGAGACAGGCAAAAGAGCAGAGAAAAGGTAAGATGAGTACTCCGAATGGGCTGAATATGGCATACTGGGGGGGGGGGGGGGGGGGTAGTTTGAAGTCAGAAGTCAACTGCCAGTTAATAGACTTTTTTGCCATATGAGTATACGTTGCCCAGGGTTCATCACGTGGAGGTAAGTCTATCGCACACCCCTTGACTGCATAATTAGCATTTATAAAATGGTGAATATTCCCTTTTTATTTGCCAGAAGACTGCTCCATAAAACTTAGACATTTACTCTGGACCACCTACACTTTTAATATGATCCTTGAAATCAAGCACGCGTTAAAAATTTCATCCACTTATCACAAATTGACAAGACAGATGTTTCAATTCTGGCTGTCACCTTGAGTTTAACTTACATAATTACCAGATCTTTAACTAATCATATTAAAGGCACATTTGATTGGATCCTCTGCTCTAATCATATTACTCCAACTCACTATATAACCCCTCAATTTGTGTCACAGTTTATGCTCAATTCCTTTAAACACTTTCAGAAGCATGAAGCATATCACAGAATCCTATGCAAGATGGCAACACAAACAGGCTGATAAAATGAGATTAACCAACCATAAGCTAATACGCGATTTCTTGGCGGAAACCCTTGGAATGATAGTCTTTGTCGCTTACTCAACTGGTGTTATAGCTCAAGCCCATCTCTATGAAGGTGCCTTTGGTATATTCATGGATATCAGTACTGGTTACGCCGCTGGTTGGGCATTGGGGTTATTCATAACCGGTTCACGCTCACCTGGGATGTGCAATCCTTGTATTGCCTTTTTGAATATGCTCACTGGTCGTCTTGATCCTTTAAAGATGCTTGTCTTCTGGTTAGCCGAACTGATTGGCTCTATTCTTGGGGCCCTTTTGGTTATGGCTCTCTACCTGGAAAAGATCTGGGAATACACCAATGAAAAGGATAACGGAGTGCTAACAATGAACTCAACCGGAGTTATTTTTACTAGCACTGCAAATAATTCAACTGGTACTTTGGTGGTAGGACAATTGGTTAGTGGAATGTTCACGTTTATTTGCATTTTGGCAATTCTGGATAGAAATAACTGGAATCTTAGTCCCTTCTATGTAATCTTATATTCGGCTGTTGCTCAATTCCTTGTGGTAAATGATTTCAGCGTCCATTCAACCTCTATTTTGAATCCTGCTTTTGATTTTGGAGGGAGAATCGCTCTGTCCATAGGAGGTGGGTTTGTCCGGTCGAATATATGTCCCTATTCACTGGTCTTTGATTTCAGCTAATTTTGTTTTTGGTCTAATCTCTCTTTACAGGTTGGGGATCGCAACCATATACTTACGCTAACTACTCCTTTTGGATATTTCTCATTATCCCCTTTGCTGGAGCAATCCTCGGTCTTGTGCTCTACGAGTTAGTGGTTGGAATACATCTGCCTGGAGCTGGAAAAGATTACGATGAGGAAGTCATTGTTGAGGCTGAATGATGAAGTTAAATGTCTCCATGTCAAAAGGTGGCAAAATCCGTCGTATCCTAAAGGATCATTTTAAACTTTTATTTTCATCTAATATAAATATTTATTTTTCATAATTTTAAGCTTTATTCATGAGCTTCCTAGTGTACATAAATATAATTATTCTTTATATCTCATAAAATTTTTTTGCTTATTTATATCAAATGGCAGGCGTTTTGATAGTTATCATTAGCCCTTGTAGTTGACTTCGGGGTTTCACAGAGGGGAGAGGGAACATCAAAGTGACAAAAAGTCGAGATGGAGACAGAAAAATTATTCACAGAGGTAAAAGAGACAGACAGACACAAAGGCATAAAAAAGGTAAGATGAGTACTGCGAAAGGAGACGAATATGACAAATACTCGGGCCATAAAAGTTTGAAGTCAGAAGTCAACTGCCGATCAATAGACTTTTTTGCCGCATAAGTATACGTTGCCCAGGGTGCACCACGTGGAGGCAAGTCTATCACACCCCATTTTCAAAAAAATAATAATCATAAAAACTGAATAATGCGCAAACATTGACATTATTGCAGTGGACTATTTCACAAATTTTGATCAATTTTATCGCGTGAAATGTTGGATTTGCAGCATCATATAAATTCTAAAATGTTTAGACAGGATCAATACTATAGCAAAATTTTTTCTTCGTTATGCTGTACAGAGTTTCGATTTTCGTTAGGCAGATTCGCAAAAGGAAATTATCAAGAAAAAAATAATCTTTACGTGTAAACATTGAATTCCATATTGAAGGTGCAGTAGCATAGTGAAACTTTGGGATCTATGAAGCAATGCTGAAAGTAAGACCAAATATTTAGGCGTCAGTTGAAATATCAATTACCGGTTGAAGTAGAGGGCGATCTTTAGAAAGTAATTGAGGTGACAACATCGAGGCTGATAGCGGAATGCACACAATCAAAATCAATTGGTTTGCCTCCGGTTATATCATTAATAATTTCATATTAATAAGCAACGCTAAATAATACCAAATGCCATTCTTGTCTCTATTATTTGCGCAATCGAACATTTTTCTTTCCATGAAATAAGTCAAATCATGAATAGTTGAAAGCAATGTTAATGGAACAATTTATGCTTATAGTCTCACCTGAGATGCCTTCAATTGAGCTGTCTATATAACGCAAACATTGGCGTAGATGTACTCTTAATTATTATTATTGCCATGTTGAATACTGATTGCACTGAGATACAGCTGATTAGGGATGGCTCTTGACAATGTTACACCCCGGAAATCAAATTTAGAAAATATATGCGTATACTTAAGTTATGAGTTTGCACTTAAAAATTCAATGTGGATCGTTTATGGTACAATATATTGCGTTACTCAAAATGTACTAAATAGAGAGGCGCTATAATTTCTATAAGTCGCAAGGACAGAATTTTCCATGGTGTTGATGATTTCAAATTTGTCTCCTCTGAGGTCTGATTAGAATAAAACGATTATATGCTGGAACTTACGATAGGCGTATTAATCATTAAAATTGACCAATGTTTTGGTAAGTCTACATGAAGAAGTCATTTCTGTCAATTACGAATTGGTGAATTCACGCTATTATAATGATATCACAAACAGTAGAATAAATTTCGAAACTCAATGCAAATTTGCTGCAATCGAAAAGAGTTTGTGATCTCGACCCACAGGTCTTCAAAAATTGCGCTTTACAGATTTCATACCTAAATTGAAAATTGTACTGTTGGCAAAATGTTAAAATATAATTTAAACACAATTTATTTATTGGAACGACTTAAGCTCAAATATACAAATTGGTGGACAAAATATCGTATTAGTATAATCTAAGTAGGTCCATTAGGTTTATAGAATTCGATATATTTACTCGGAGATAGCAAATAAAATAAATCTTTCAATCATCCTTGTGAAGGATTTGCCGATCCATTTTATGTTTAAATTTCAATGAAATAAATATACCGATTCTGGCACTTAATATATAATAAAATGAGCAAAATGACGAATAAACCTATCTATTTTTAGGACATTAGTAATCTAAGTTTTTTTAAAGACTTAATATGCAAATAATATATTTTTTCAATTGATTTGCACTCACTGATTTGTTGCAAAAACTGTTAAATAATCTTCATTACTTAAGAATCAAAATATTGTAAATCGGTAACTCATTAAATATTTAACGGTAATAACAGAATTGGTTTACCATAAGTTAAAAGTTTCAATTGCACACATCTTGGACATTTCAATTCTAACTATTTTGTAGCCCTAAATAGGGTGACAAACTATTTTTTCAATTAATAATGTCAATATGTCAATCTCTGTTCCATCAGTATAGTCACACAATTTTAAGTCATCTCAGAGCCGATGAAGCAAATACGTTGGCTTCAATCATCACTAGAAGGAATCGTTGTAATACAAAAATGCGTTGAGGATAAATGATCTATTCACGACGTATCCATTAATATTTGGCCAATAAACTTTTTACATTTCAGAGCAATTCATGCCTCCATAACATGTGTGCCGCACCCAACGAACGCATTACGATTTGCATAGCCTTGCCCTAAACTAATGTATTTGCAAATACATCCTTCCCTCTGCGAAGCCTGAAGTCAACAAAAAGGCTAATGATAACTATCATAAAGCCTGCCGTTTGATATAAATATATGCAGTTCATCTTGGACTTGCTCTGAAGATTAAATGCTATCGTAATAAGCAAATCCATTGTCTATAACGTCTATGACGTAATCTTTCACTTTGATAACATAGTAACATAAATACAAACTCAGCAGTGTGCAATGATCTGTTTTACCGACGACAAAATTTTATTTAATGCAATACTTTGTTTATAAAAATCATTGACTACTACAGTTAAATTCCACATTTCAGCCATAGAATACTCGCAAATGTCAGCTAATAGTCAAAGTAGGATTTGTGCTAATTGTAGTCGCTGTTTGAAATTGAAAGCCATAGAAATGATTACAGTAAACAAATGCATTTTATCTAAATTTATAAGGATTTTTTTTCGCAGTGAGCAGGCATTCAAAGAATTACTACATTTTTTATGACTCAAACGAAAGTGTTCAATTGGCCACGCAAATATTTTTAATATTTCGTGGTAAAACTTTGAACCATTTAAAATAGAACGGCACGTTTTGGCAGTTCCGAAAAAATTGCAAAAAATATATATATGAGCGACAAATATTGTGTTATCAGAAGTGCTTGCGAATGCTTTGCCAATAGCAATGAATATGTTGTTTCAATGTGATGACTTTCAGGAAGTTCATATTCCTTTGAAGGCGTGGTTTGCATATTTGGATGATTTGATGGGTTGAAATATTTGAAGGCTCATGAAGGAGATTTAAAAAAATTAAACATATTCAATTAAAATAAAGGTTAGCTATGTCAATATTATGGATGC